TTTATTAGTGCAGAGGTAACAAACTCGTAAATCCATTACAAAGAAAAGAAAAAAAATGTATTTGTGACGAGTGAAGACCAAAGATTTCCGCGTCGGTGCTTGACGGTGCGATTATGAATCATCAATTTCACATTCACACCCTTTCATTTTCTCTAAATCTACTTTTACACCCTCTACTTTTTTATTGCTCAACCTTTTCCACATGCTTTGACATTGTTAGCTCTATTCTTAATTCCGAAGAAAGACCATCAATGAACCCAGCCCAACATGAACATTTCATAAACTATATCCGCATTTCCTGAAGATTCAAGTGCTTGGATTGCTCCTACTATAAGTGAGGAGTGCACTCATGTGCTTCAATATTAGCCGAAAAAACAAATCATTTTTGACGAATTGGGTACAGAAGAAAAATTTGGCTGTTTGAAGCATCTAAGTTTGTTATCTAAGATAATTGAACTTCACAAACGCTTGCAATACATGTGTTCAAAGTTTGAACATGATTTATTTCACAAAAAGGACTATGTACAACATGAACATTTATCACAATTCAACGAGAGGTGCTTATCATAAAACAAAGCGGTTCAAGGATTCTTGCCTCTAAAACCATGGACGAACATATACTTCAAATTGGATTAACTCTATCTACCCAGTAAGGAATAAGCTGATGTCACTCCTATGTGATCTCCTATGCCTTTCATACTCAAGATCATCAGTAGGTAGCTCAAACCGACAAACTGGACAAGTATTCCTTATCCCTAACCAAGGCACAATACACTCACCATGGTAGAAATGCATACAAGGAAGCCTCTTTACTTTCTCCTCTACGACCATATCATCTTTACAGACCGCGCAAACGTTGTTTAATTCTTCCACAGTAAGTACCACAAATGGAAGATCCTCAATTACACTTTTAGCAGCTGGAGGATTTCCCCTGATTCCAATCTCGTTATCAAACATTTGCCCAAGAATGGCATCAGTATGATTTTCATCCATACTAGCTAGATAAAGGTAATAACTCGGATCGATATCACCGGAGTTTATCATGATTCCTTCAGCTTGATCTATATAATTAACAACATTATTAACAGCTAACAAAACCTGCCAGTCCAATTCATGNTCTTCTTGATCATCATCCCTTGATGAGATTCTGGATGGTGAAGACAA